TTGTTTGTTATGGGGAAAAATACATAAATTTTCAATCACAACACTCTACCAACTTGAAAACTTTTTCTTACTGGAAACATTATTTTTATTTGAGGTTACATGACGTTTATTTGTCTGCTTCCTTCCATTTGAATGATTAAATTAACAAGCAGAGGTCTTTTTTTTTTATTTTGAAAAGCAAAAGCATAAGTCATATTGAAATAGTCAAATTAATTCTAGCTTTAAGCTCTTTAAGTTTGGTTAATTTATCATTGTTAGCTGACCTCAAACTTCATAATTTCCATTATGTTTACTTGTGATTGAGAATGCTAATATATAATTTCATTGCTAGTGAAAAATAGATAAGAAATTAGTAAAGAAAATTACATAAAAAATGTACACTACATTTGATAGAACTAGTTTTAATTTTTAAATGCTTTATCACGTACGTGCAAACCCTTCATAACTGAGTACGTGTTTTGAAGTTTATCTAGAATGGAAGTTGTGGAGATTCAGACGTATCAAGACTTTTATACCATGAAGAAGAATTTGATACTTGGCATCGTTTTAACACTAAATTAAAGAAAGGTAATTTTTTTTCTTAGCCAGCCAAAGTTTTATTAAATTATTGAGTTTTAAATTGACTAAAATTCTAGATCTTATTTAATTAAAATTTGTGTTTGTGTACAACATTGAGTAGTTGTATAGTTTTAAACTTTTTATTCACATAGAGTCCTAATCACATTCTACTTTAGACTTTGATATTATAAAAGCGGATCTCTATGCTTTAGAATTGCAAGTGTGCTTTGAGAGCTATAGAGAAATGACATTTTATAACTTTGTCTTTTGTTCTAGTTGGAACTAGAGTGGTTTGGATGAGTGTTTTTGGGAAGTTATTGAAAAAGAGTGTGCAAGGGATCTTGGGTTAGTTTGAGGAGCCATAGAGGTCAATTTATAGTATTTTAATTTCTCAATAATAGAAGAATAGTTTCACTCTGCGGTTGTAGGCAAAAGGCTAAACTACGTAAATTCTTGTGTTTTTCTGTTTGTTTGATTTCTCTGAGTTTTATCTTTGTTATTTCTTGAGCAATTTCCATAACAAACTAGTATTAAAGTTTTGGGTTTGGTAAATTCAAGATTCAACAAGGATGTTGAAAGTTACTAGTTCTACGAATTTTTCAATTGATAAGTTTGGTGGAAAGACTAGTTTCACGCAATAGCAGAGAAGAATAAAAGATATCCTTATACAGCAAAGTTTAATGCGCCCATTGCTAGGAAAGGAGGAAAGGCAACCAGATGACATGAAGGATGCTGAATCGGCAGAGTTGGAGCAAAAGTGTGTGAACACCATTCAGCTTTGTATTGGAGATAACATGTTTAACCATGTTATTGATAAAGATTCTACTCTAAGGTTGCGAGCAAAGTTAGAGAAGATTTGCTTTGCGATCAGTCTTTCTAACAAGTTACAACTTAAGCGAAAGTTGTATCGCTTAAAGATGAAAGAGAATGGAGATCTCATGAAGCATAAGAATGAATTCGATGGGATCATTGATTAGTTGAAAAAGGTTGATATGAAGGTGGAGGAAGAGGAAAAGGGACTATTGTTCCTAACTTCACTTCTAGACTCTTATGAGGTATTTTTGGAATCTCTGATATGTGGAATGGATACAATAATGTTAGAACAAGTACAAGCAATGTTAATGTCTCATGAAGCCCGAAAGAAAAGTAAAGAAGGGGATAGAGATCCAAGTGGCTTGGCATTGGTAATTGAGGTTCGTAAGAAAAAGTCAGCTGATAAGGGATCTAAGGGTGGCAAGTCTAGATCCAACAATATTCAGTTCTTTCAATGCAAAATGCATGGACATATTAAAAGGGATTGTCCTACAAAAAAAGGATGAAAGTAACGAAAACAAAGGTGAGTGTGATTTCATTACTGAAAATGATGATTGTGATATCCTTACAATCTCAGAAAATATGAATGCAAATTCTTATTGGTATTTAGACTCTACTTCTGCCACTCACATATGTTATCAAAAAGATTGTTTTGATTTACTTCAAGAAATGGTGGCTGGGAATTTGACTTTAGATAATAAATTTAGATAATAAATCAATAGTGAAGGTTGCGGGTCTTGGTGTAGTAAAAATCAAAATGTTTGATAGGGTTGTGTATTTTTTGGGTAGTGTGACCTATGTCCCAGAAATGCATAAGAATCTAATATCATTGAGCTTGCTAGACTCCAAAGGGTATGGATATTCTGCTTGTGATGGGGTGGTAAAAGTTACACAAGGCGACATGGTCTTGATAAGGGGGAATTTGTATAATGGCTTATATTGTCTAGAATGTGAGGCCTCGGAGGGTTGGGAACAGTGCACTGGAGATGGTAGCTACCCAAAGTGAGATTTCATTTTCCAAGGAGGTGATGAAAGTTTCTCATGATGTAGATGATGGTGAAAAGATGAAAACTCTTACTAGTAGTGAATTGGAAGGGTCGTCGAGGTCCTTTTTCGAAGTCAATTAGTTCCATTGACTTGACGGCTACACAAATGCATTGACCATTTTATGGAATCGAGTATTGGACCATGCTTGATTTGGTATATGTAGTCATGGTAATTATAAAAGGCCAATG